AGAGAGAGAGAGAGAGAGAGAGAGAGAGAGAGAGAGAGAGAGAGAAAGAGAGAGAGAGAGAGAGAGTCCGCCCATCGGACCTAGAGATCCATCAAGCCGATCTGTCGACTCGCGACGAACCTGCTTGGTTTCGCACGACGTTGTATCATCGGCGAGCGCGGCACCGTCGCCACGGCAAGGATCCAGAGCGGATTGTCCTGCGAATTGCTAACGGTCTGAGCGACGAAACCGCGCGCCGTTTCATCGCGACTGCGAGACCAGTGTAACCATCAAGATTACCGGCCGCGGCGGTTGCGCCAAGTACTGTGGTACAGCTCCATCACCCGGCAACATTTCATTCTCCAGTTTTCGTCAGTCCTTCACCTCCAATGTCAACTACCTGAAACGGAGGTGAGTCACGCCGCCGCTCCGCTATCGCGTCCACGCTCTATCCGGATTCCGCGACTGGCATTTAATTCTGTATCGATTCGTACCGCGCGTTAATTTCTAATTTACGGCCGCATATATGTCTTCCGCAAAGAGACAGTCCAAACTATTCTGCGTACGCTCCGCAATCACCTCGGCGTTTGCGCGCGACTTCGCGGGAATACCAAATTATTGAGAGATGTTCAATTCGCATATATCCCGCAGCTAGCGGTCGATCAGCTAATGCCAGCCCGAATCATGAGATCTGCATGCATATTGCGATTGTATGGCGCAAGCTTCTAGCTGAATTTTGGGGAATCTCTCGATTGCAAGTAATCGATAAGGGGTTCATAATGTTATGCAAGGGAATTTGCGTGCCAAACAATGGGTCGGCCAGAAGGTCTAGTTCGATTTTCCAGGCGGATTTAACTTCTGCTTCGATTAAAGGAATAAATTATCCGTTAATTTACATTAATGGTTACACTCGTTGTCTGTAATTCTTCGCCAACAATCTGACGGTAGAACATTATCAGCATCGTTGCTCGCATTGCGAGAGCATGTGACGTTATCTACTGAAAATCGAACCGAACTTTTTCACTGACCTAATAGGCACGATTTGCGCAGTTTCGCAAGTTTCGTTTCTTCATCGTTTCGTGGATGTGGTGTCTGTCGATATAAGAGAAGTGACTTAAAACTGCGAGCAACATTCCAAATTCCCATCTTATTATCCGCGCCTTAACGGGCTTTCAGCGTGATCACCAATAGCATCCAGGTATCGGAATCGGACGAGATTCACTAATCCACGTAATTAAAATCGAATATGGAAAGAATCCGATCGAAATAACGCCCGCGCTATCTCACACATGAATGAATACGTTTTTGAAAGGCATGCCTGATGAAAGTCCGTGTATCGTCGCTTCAGCAGAGGCAGGCATGAATCCTTTTATGAGTGGCTCTCATGTCGGATAAATTTACGCACACGAGCGTGCACATAATGACGATCGGCCGTTAAAACGTTAAGCACACGCGTGCTTAGTATCTCGATACTCCACGAGCTCTCGCTGGCTCTCACGATGCGTCCGTGAAAGGAAAATAGATTCCTCTGTCCAATTAGCCGGACACGCGCATCCTACCTGAGTCGCTCGTTAAGCAATCGCCGCTCAGTAAATAACGTGTCAAAGCTGCGGTGATAGAAATTGGGACAGCCCCTGAAACTCGATATTCAGAAACGTGACTAAGTCATTACAACGCTAGGCACGAAAACCGAGAGAAAGAAAACACAATGGGAGTGATTTTGACAAAGAGAATTTTGTTATCCTTCATTATCTATACGATCATCCATTTTGAACTCCCCAGAGAATTACGGTTCTTTTCAATCTTTAATTAAAAAGCAAACCAGAGCACAGGTTTCTTTTCAACGCTTCGTACGCGAGTGAAGAGAATGATCGGGATATTAAGCATAATTATGAATAAAAGTACACGCCGGCGAGCCAATAATGAAGAAAGATCGGTACGGACGTAAGGTAGCCCCGGGCAATCTGTTATCTTTGAAAATATCGTTAATCGATCACGTGGAAGTGAAGAATACCGACCGAAGCGTCGGGGGAAAAAAGTGGCGAGACCTGGACGTTGAAAAAGCTCCGCGCTATTCGGAAGAAAGGTGTCGCGCTGAAATGTCAACGGCGAATCAATGAACACGCAGGTATCTTGATGTTACTATTAATAATTCCAAGCCTTTCGTGTGTTCGATAAGTCTGGATATGTGCATGCGGCTCGTTAAAAATATCGCTTCCAACATTGCCCCGAATGCAACCTCGATGCGCGCCACGATATCAAGTCATCGCGCTAACGTTGCTTTACATACGGCAACGTTAACGTAACGTCATCATCCCCGCCGTCCCGTGTTCTAGCGATATCGCGTCTTTCATCTGCCGCTTTTACTTTTGACGAGCAACCACATGCACACGCGCTAACGTATGCGCTCGCGTGTATGTATGAAAGACAGAGAATCGATGACGTAAATACGAAAGGACATGGTTTCGTGTGAATATCATACATTGTTTGCGCCTCTCGGCGTGCGTTCAATTCAACGCGAGACAAGTCGTTCGCACGGAGGGGATTTCCAGCTTATAGTGATGGAAAAGCAAAAAGAGAACCCCTCCCAGAAAACCAGAAAAAATACGCGCACACGAATATGTTGCTGCTCGGAAAGTTGGAGTTCCTGGACTCTCGTGACTGTCTATTCCGCGCGCAAAACGGAAATAGACACGCCGACGTTCGCCGCTCGCATGTTAGCGACTGCCAGTCTCATCGCCGACGTCATCTCCATGCCTCATTTCATCAGCACCACTACTGGCTGTGATCGATGTGCATTAAAAGCAGTCGGAAATACGACAGCGTCAGTGCGCGGACCTGCCGACCAACTTGCCACTGTCACGACGACCACCATAGCTTGTCTTCCAGGTTCTCGTCAGGGGACCTGAGCTCGGAGCTCGACGATGAGCCCAACGCGGATCCTGGGCTGGCCACCGTGGGCCGGCAGGACTCGTCCCAGCCGTATCAAGCGGTGCCGGAGCGACCCCTGCAGTCCCAACCGGGCCCGATACCACCGCCGTCCCAGCCGCCGATCCCAGGTGCGCCTCCTCCAGGACCGCCGCAGCCCATCGGCGGCGACCTCAGCCTCAACCTGAGGCCCGGCTCGAGAACCACCAGCGCGCCGTCCTCGCCGGCGAAAACCCGGGAGAGTTTGCTCCAGCGAGTGCAGAGCTTGACCGGCGCCGCCCGCGACCAGGCAAGTTTCTCCCTTTACATTTGCACCGACTCACAGTACTCTTAGCTCAACGGAAATGAGATCTGTCATTCTAATCAAGAACGAGAGAAGCGCTGCTTCCACTACCGGTGTAACCGTAGTCGCAGAATTGAATTATTTGTCGATATATCTTCGAGGTCCATTGGTTGCAATTTTTTAGTTTGTATGTTTCTTCTTTTAGCAATTGTAATTATTTGTCAAGATTAATGTTTTATGAAGATCTCTTATTCTTCGTTGGAGATCTTCCAGAGAACAAAAAGAAAAAATTCACTTATTTTTTTAATAGAATATAAATGAATCTTTTAATTCGATTAATATCGCGATAGGAAATGTAACGGGATTACGGCAAGTAATGACTCTAATTGTGTATGTCAGAATCGTCTTTCTCTCTCTCTTTTCAAATCGTTAAGTCTGTTTCTCTCGATATGCAGCGTCGCTCGTACGTTCTTCTTGGGATGAGCTGCTTAATTGTGATCGATACGCCTTCCGTGTTTACTCGGTTACTATGTCGTACGGTACAAAGAGCGGGAGAGCGCCACACAAGTCTGACAGTTAAAATGACGTGTAGGGTGCTTCTATTCTGGGAGCGGCGGTGTCTGGTGCGACCAGAGGCCCGTCGTACAGCAAAGACCGATGCTTCACTCTGCTAGTGATCGACGACCAGAACACCGACTGGAGCAAATACTTCCGCGGGCGTAGACTGCACGGCGATTATGAGATCCGCGTCGAGCAGGCGGAATTTCGAGAACTATCCCTTACGGCGAGCGAGGCGGGCACCGTTGTATCCATGGCTGTCTATCGTAACGGGACCAAAGTCATCCGGTGAGATACTCGCTCGTGTCAATCGTAGGCAGAAACTGGAGCGTGCATTTTTATATTTTCGAAAGTATTGATATAAACATCAAATATAAATCTCAAATCGAATATAAGCCTCAAATCAAATTGTGCAATCGTGTTCAATATTATTGTCTCTTTTACAGCTAAATATTGCAAGTTAATTATCGGAGAAATAAAATTTTATCCGCTTCGTGGAAATTCGTGGAATTAATAACAGTATACAAATAAAACAGCACGACCGAGATAACAATTTTATTCGAAATATCGCGAAACGTCGAATGGCAAGTGTGCAACGCCTACTGTCGTTTGTTGTCAGATCCTTCAAACCTGATTTCGTACTGATACGTCAGAACCTGCGGGATGCCGGAGAAGACTACAAGAATCTTCTTCTGGGACTGATGTACGGCGGTGTGCCCAGCGTTAACAATCTTACCGCAATTTACAACTTCCAGGTAACGACATCTCGACAATCCTTCCTCTGACAAATCGATCCCCAAGTTTAGATCCCCAAGTTTAGATCTCGCTAAACGTAAGACGTAACTTCGTAGAAAATAGAATTAATTGAAAAAAGTTGAACAATATCGCACGATTCATTTTACATCGAGTTACGTCAAAAAAAGTTTGCGAGATATTTAATCTCTGTTTGAGGTGCGAAAATTATTATTTGAACAGAATGTAATCGGGACCGATAGAAATTTAATTACAGATTCCATGCACAATAACCACACGTGATAACTCCCATCGATTTTATTATATATGTGCCCATCATACACACAGTATGATTGAAACTCTCCAGTAATTGCTATGTGCTCTACGAAATTATAGGACAAACCTTGGGTATTTGCGCACCTGCTGGGGCTGCAACGTCGCTTGGGTAAAGACAACTTCCCCCTCATCGAGCAGAGTTATTACCCCAATCATCGCGAAATGGTGAGTGCGATCGATCGACAAATGTTTACTCAATATTAGTAGTATCTTCTCGCATTTTTCCGATAAAGGGGCAAAACGCGCGTGCGTACGAGAAGACGACTGTTTTCGTTTATTTTCATTCTACATGTCGTGAATGTATGTGTGTGTGTGTGTGTGTGTGTGTGTGTGTGTATGTGTCTGTGTATCTGTTGTGTAACACTTACGAAATTACCATGTGTAAAGAACTAAACTAACGCATAGGTACAAAATTCGTCCACTTCCGAGCGGAAGTGCAAACAAATCTCTCTTGTTGCAGTAAAAAATGCATCTGTCTTATTTTGTACTAAATTTCGACCCGCTTAGTAGTAGGCGTTTCACGAGAAACTGCTAATGAACGCAGTAGTGGTCAAAGCGCAGTCAAACGATGCGCTTCGTCGCGCTACATCGAAATCTCGTAAAGGGAATCGCCGCTTTGTTTGCGGAAACGCAAGCTCGAATATTCCGTGAAGCCTCTCGTTTAGTTAGACACCGGGTACACGGATTACGGATGATAATTTGCGCAGATAACGAACATGATACAATCTAATTTACACCTAAGAATGCGCATAAAACGTTACGAAGTATAAAGTACGTCTCAATGACGTCTACGACTACATACAACGAAACGACCGTTGGAATAATTTAAGGATGCACAATTTACACACTGGCAGAATATAACGTACACTATAATATATATACAACTCATTAAGAGAATAGCCGTGAGAAAGTAGGACAGCCCGTGTACATTTCAGAAACATGAAATGTGTATCGGGTATCTTCGCAGGTTTCGAAATACTTAGCGCGCTACAAACTCGTCTTCCATTAATAATAATTGAAGGATTAAGGATCGGTTTCAGCAACGTCGGGTTTAGAGTTTAACCGTAATTAACTAAATCATCTCCCTTTATACATCGCAGAACTTACATAATAGCTAGCTGCTTAGTCATAGCAGAGAATACGAACCGAAAATTAGCCGACGTTGTTGCCACCGAACTCTCGAAGGTTACGAATAATTTAACACGTGATAGATGATTCCATATCTTAACAATTACAATATTACACCGATTTCTCGACGCGGTCATCTTTTCTGTTCGCTTGTCCAAGTCGTCCAAAGATGACTTAACGCGAAGATATCGTTATTCCTGCTTTCATCCATCGACATACGTAATTGCCTCTCTCTCTCGGAAGGAAATGTAAGAAAGTTTCAAAGTCAGAATTTGTCGTCTTAAGCATTCAGAGATCTAACATTTTCATTCGGAGATAAATGTCACTTTAATTAGAGAGACACGAGCGATATGAGAGAGAAATTCGCACAAATCGGTGAAATATCTGGAATCTCAACGATAAATATAACTTTTGGAAACGCGCAAAGAACGGAGAGAGTCGCGTCGCCTTATGCGACGACTCATTAACCAGTTATTGTGCTATTCCGCTTCGCGATAGAGAAGCAGAACTCAGATCTCCGTTGTTTTCGACGCTGTGCAAATAGTTCGTTCCATTAAACTGTCACTGTACACTCACTCCGCCCTCTCAGTGACTCAATTATCGCGATCGGGCCGATTGACAGATACGCCGCGTCGTTTCGCGACCGACAGAGCCGGTCGTTCCTCTCTCATCGTCGAAGAACACGATTCCGGCACGCGAATGTCAGCGGAACTAAGGCTCCCGCGACCTCTGCTGCTCGCGCAAACGCTGGTGCTCCTTGATACAATTCTTGTACGGGACCGAGGGAACCCAGGAACAGCCGCTGGGCGCCACCATGCACACGCCGTATTTTTCTTGGCAATCCTGGGGGCCTGGTGCGCTCTCCCAGAGGCAACGCTTGCCACCGCTGGACTCCAGCACGGCGCCCTTGCGTCTCCAGTGTGTATACAGAATCTGCGATACAAAAACCAGGCCATTTTTCTCGCCTACGTTCTCTCCGCGTCTCTATCTCTTTATTCCGCGCCTGATCTCCACCGTGCTTTCTCAGTCGCGTAAACTTGCAAAATCCCCCGTGATTGATCAAGCGCACAGAGCGCAACTTTTTCTTCCCGTTCGCCCGTTCGCGCGCGGCCGTGTGTATTTTTAGGATACTTTTTGGAAGCACTTTCCACATCAGTATAAAAGTAGCTAGCCGGATTTACAACGTGGCTGATTTATCTCCTCAATATCACCACAATCCCCCGCATCGAGTCTGCATTGACTCACAGTCGGTTGAAGAAATATTTAATTTTGCACGACGCCTGTCTGATTTATACGACTGAGTTCACCGAGTTTATCTGCCGAAGCTATTTATCGCGCTTTCTTTCTATAGGACGAGTGTTTTGTAATATTTGTCTCGAAGTTGACATCTTTCTTAAATAGTTACTTACATCGCACACGCAACCCTGCTGATAGAGTTGTCTCAGTCCCTTACGTTGCCTGCTGGTCGTGTCGGCCCACCTTATCGTGAGTCCGCAGAACGAGATGAGAGCTTTTCCGCTGACAATCCTACCATTGAGAACGTAAGTCTCGCCGACTTTCAGTGCCACGCCGCACATCGACTCCGAGGACGGAGTCCATAAAAGGTTCTGCATCAGAGCCGTGTCGGCCTTTGGATTGGACTGTGGGAGAAAAAAGGCGTGCGGTTAAACCTAGATTACACCTCGCGACGAACGTTTCACAGTGACATCCCGCGGTGCGCAACACGCACAATACGCACCTTGAAGACCCTGTTTATCTTGACCTTGTAAGCGATCTCGTACTCGTTCATGGTGAGAACCTTCTTCACCCTCACCACACCAACTGCAACAGAACAATCGTCGTTAACCGTGGCCGCTGGCGACTTTTACGAAAGCGGGAAAGTGAATTTCACCGTTACTTAAGCCGTTATTTAGTCGCGCGTATTTTACGGAAAGAACCATTGCAATTATTGCACAGAAAAAAGATTTTATCGGATTAACCAAGTATCTGGTGAAATATAAACGAACCAGAATTCTGCCTAAAGAAATTCAAAAATTTTGTTAGAATTTGAACAGAATTCTGGTTTGTTCATATTTCATCAGATTTTTGGTTAATTCAACTCAACTTGTTTTTCTCGTATATATATGAGATATTGTTATCGTGACAGTATACATGAGTACGTGACAGTATACGTGACAGTAAATATTGTTATCGTGACAGTTTACGGTTATTGTTGCTCTCTGTTGCCACGATATGCTCGGGATTTTTTCATTGAAAAATATTGTCACGTTGAATGAAGCAAAACTCGAGCTTTGAATTCAATATCCAATTTAAAAAATGAAACAATAAATAAAGCAATATATAAAACAATAAAATTGCGATATGTATCATCTTACCGAAATCCGATTCACAAAACTTGGTTTGAGGATGGTCCTGTGTGCAACTACATGCTGCGATCCTTTGCACCGGTGCTAACAGCACGGTTAGCAGCAGAAAATGCGTCCACAGAAGTAGCCGCCTCATCTGTAATGAAAAAAGAAAAAACTTGAAAATACGTCGTTTATGGCAAATAGCACGTTTACTGCAGTTGTTGCGATAGCCGTGTTTCCATCATCGTGTTGTTCCATCGCGCGCACAATTTTAAGATTGTATCTCAGCGCGCATAAATTGGCATCAAGGCGGAGAAATTTAATCGCCATCAGAGTGATAAAAGGTGTAACGCGACGCAACACAAACTGCTACGCGGAAAATCTGTTTATCCGCGAAATCCGGTTACAGACGTGCGAGTTGTTCAGGCAACTCGTATTCCTACTTGTCGCATACACACGACAAGTAATCCTTGATGTTCAATGTGAAAAACTCAGAGTCGGATTCTGCAGTCTAATTTGAGATAATTTCGAGTAAATAAGCAGGTGAAATATTCAAATAGTCATTTTATCTCATTTTTTATTTTATAAAACTCTGGCGTGTTTGTCATTACTGTTTGCGGACTAATAATGTTTAATAACATGATGAAAGAAAATATACACATTTGCCTTCCTCGGCAAACAGGACATCTTGTAACAGCAAAAATTATCAGTTTATTCGTATACGTTGACGTTAATTAAAATGATGGTTTTAAAAGTCACTATTTACATTTATCCAAGCGGCGCTGCACCATGTCAGTTACGCAAAATTTTGTAATTAATTAATTAACAAATGTTGCATTATATTTTGTTGCATTTACATATGTAAATTTCATAGTCTTGTATGAAAATTAATTATTACCTAATTAATTATTACAGCGGTGCGCAATTTTCCATGCAGTGTTTTAATAAGTAATATTGTTGACAAATATTTTGACGCATTTAACCGACGTGATATTTTTTGTTACTATCAGAATGCGATATTTGCTTGCGATGTTTGCCATTGCTCGAACAAATAAGATAAAAAAGACATCGTAATACCAAACTATTTTGATAATACACATCGCTATATTTGTATATGTTTATTTCAACGTAACCTAACGCGCAACGAGTATTAAATGCGTATTAAAAAAGAGAAAGAGAGCTCTAGGATATTCCCCTCCAAAAACGTTCAAAAAAATTACATAGAATATAACGATTTGGAAAAAGGAAAAAGAAAAACAGTAGGCGAATGTTTTATCTTATCTGGAATTTAATTTCAGAGATTCGCGGTAGTATATTTTAAAAGGATTCTTGACAAATTGATATGAGAGAAAGACGGAAGAAGAGAGAAAGAGAAAATTCTGCGAGATATCAAATATCGTCAGTATTACGTTGCGCTTGATGTTTACTAGAATCCGATATTCTTCGATATTTATACAACATATGCGTAAAATAACATAGGGTCTCGTCCGGTGAAGGATAGAAAACTCACTAAGGAAGAGCGCTAATCCGACCTAGTTTATCGTCGCCAGCTGAACGCTGATCTAAACATAGCGGCAAAACGGTAAGCAAAGTCGAGCGCGATCTAGAAACACTTTGCGCGGCCAAAAATGTCTCATTGACGTGCCAGCCAGTCTCGTAATGACCGTATAAACGTATGGTCGGCGATTTAAACTATGAATGGTCGTGTCTGCTGACCCCGGATGCCATGACTTTGAAACATTAATATCGTGTTCATTAATATCGGAGAGTTTCTGCAATATTCATTAAATTCAGTCACATCAATCTCCCTTCGTTTTCATAAATCAGCGGATTGCAATCTGACGTTTTCCGATATATTCCATACACGATAAAATACATGGTATCTGATACAACATAATGGATACGAGCCGACGGTGTATAAAAATATGGAGATGCGTCTTGTCGCGACTTCCGATCTATCATCAAGACAGATTCACTCGCGGAGAAAGCAATTTCTCATACAGAGTGAGTCACTAGAATTTGCCTTCTAAGATATCTTTGTAAATATTGATTTGACACAAAAATGTTTAAGACAAAAGTTAAATAACTTTTGAAAGGGCTACATTTTGGTTGTCTTAGTTTCTTTTTTAGGTGGAAACGCTGAAAAGTTTTGAACGTCATCTCAGGCTTTTTAAACGAATAAAGTCTTATTCTCAATCAGAGAAAGAGATATAATTGTAGAGAATGGGAAGAGTAATAAATGCAGGTAAAAATAATTTTTCAATTTACTTTTACTACCCATTTATTTTACTCTTCTTATTTCTCTGGATTCTTTTTTCACTTCAAGGCTTTTCATGGCCAAGGTAGGTTGTTGGATTTATCTTTTCATTCTTTATAATTACAGTTGATTAAGGATAGGATTTTCCATTCAAAGAACTTGAGATGATCTTCAAATCTTTTTGGCGCCTTTGTCTAAAAACAAATTAAGATCAAAACGTAAACGATCAAAATGTTGCCCTTTTAAAATTATATAAACTTTGTCTTAAATCTTGAAGATATCTTAGAAGGTAGTTTCTAGTGACTCACCCTATAGAACAGAAACCGCTGCGTGATAAAAAATATTTGTCAATCTGGCTGATTTGAGCCCGAAACATTCTGAAAGGTTGTGTATACGGGATGCAAAACAGTGATCGTACTTTCGGTAGATACGATAATATTCCGATACGCATTCGCGCCGTAAATATGGAGAAGCAGCGTTCGCTTGAATACCACTTTATCACCGACCCCGCAAGCCTCTCTCTCTCTCTCACTCGTTCGAGAGTTACGTTCACGGTGTTTTGATTTTTTTTCGCGACCGCCTGATTTGCATGGAACCTTTGTGCCTCCTTGTCGATCGCCTTTTCATGAGTGAATCTCCTCGGGATCCGCCGCGATGTATCGTAAAGAGACAAGAGTGTAGTTATTGTTACGGTAGACGATCACGCGTCCGAGACGAGATATAGGGATAGCGGTATAAACTATCGCAAACACAGTATACTTGCAGCTATAACGATATATCATCGTTGAAATCCTCCAACGCCGCCCTCGCTGCTACGTCTGTAATGTAGACATAACCGATGCGCAAGTCGTGCAAAGTAACAGAAAAAAATGTAGATGAATGTAATTGAAGTGATCGCTCGTATTTGGATATGGAGAAGTAACCGTTGTTTGTTAATATAAAATAAGCAGTCAATGGAAAATCGATATCGCGACGCTGAGGCAAATCTGTCTCGCTCGCTATTCGCGTTCGGGTATCCATAATCGAGAGGAAATAACTACTGATACTTTCCATATTCAGCACACGCGAATCCCAAAGTGCTCGCGACAGCCGATAATCATCATTTGACGTACTTTCATGCGAATTTATTTTCTCGACTCGAGCTTCATTACTAGCAGTGAGATACCAAAGTGGTTTGCCCGCGGGAAAATTTATCGATCATGATTAAATAACGGGCTTGCGCGGTTTATCGATCGCATTTAAATCACAGTTATCCGCGGAGAGAAGACTAACGTAAAGACGAAATGCGGATAAAAATAGAAGTTTGTCCCTTCATTGTGTCGCTGAATTGATTTAATTCTCGATTAATGAACAGCGTCATTTCAATTAAGCGATTGAAATCTGCGGTTGCTAAAACCCGCATATATCATTCAACCGCGATACGACCGATCGCGGACAAACTGGTCGTCGGCAGGAAAATAAAACGCGACCTTGACGTTGCAACATTTGCATAGGATTATCGATGGCCACATTATAAATCGATTGCCGTTTAGGTTTACATCTCGTTTAGGAGATGCCTTCTCGTTGCTTGGGAATGAAACAGAGATATATGTATGAGGAAACACAATAATATACCGTAAAATAAAAAATTAACAATTTATTAAAGTCATAGCTTCATCATTTAAATTAAAACGCAATGTTTGAATAATCAAGTTTTCCCGTATGAAGGAACGATTACATTTCAATGTATACAGAAAAAAATATCATTTTACTGCTGAAAAAACGATTACTCAGTTTGTTTTTCTTCTTTTAAGTAATCATTATCTTCAACAAGGAACATTTTTTCTCTTGATAATAGTCTTGAAATATACTCATCATAAATTTGCGAAAAACTCATTATCATGTACTCAAAAGAAGAATTTATTCTCTTTACAAGAATATTATGAAACTCTATCCAAAAAAAAGTTGGCTCGAGTTGGCTATATAAATAAATTAAATTTTCGTTTTAATTTAATATTCTTGATTGAGATGGTAAGCTTACAAGGATTCAGAATTAATTTTGATGCTTACGATGAGTTGATTTATATTTATTTGAACGCAGTATTTTCCTGTGTGTATATGTGAATTTTAATTTAATATTGTTGATTGAAATGCTAAGTTTACAAGGATTCAAAATGAATTTCGATCAAATTTGATGCTTATGATGAACTGATTTATATTTACTTGAACGTAGTATTTTCCTGCGTGTATGTGTGTATGTTCCGACACACACACATACAAACAGTGATTGCGCAATGTTCCGTTGACGAGATAAAGCGAAGAAGCTCAAGTGAAAGCGGGCTGAACAATTATCTCCGCTGCACGTACGTGCAACGTCTATTCTCCGCGAGACACACAGAGAGAAAGAGAGATACCATTCCGAGAATCAAACTGATCCAAGCAACGCCCCGATAATCGAACGTACCGTTATAGGCCGTTACAGACAATCGAGATTCTACAGTGCTGACGAAAGGATTGATATGGGCAACGTTCGGCGCCCGCGCCCACACCCAGAGATGAGTGTCCTCGCAGCGACGTTCGCCGAATGCGCTTCATGCATCATCATGCAAAACGGATTGATTGAGGGGCTGATGTCACGATGCACACTCGCATTACTTTTGTTTCCGTTTGCGAACAATAAAATGCCACGGCGAGAGCACACGTCTGCCGGTGTTCCACGCCTCGTGACGCATCGCGACTCGACGATGACACGGTGCTGTTTGTCACGCGCCTCTCTCGCGATTCATTTCGATCCCTTAAGTCGGGGATGCCGTCGACGATGATGACGACATTGGCGGTGATGATGGTAGTGGAAGCGGCTGTGGTAGGCATCGTAATCGTACGTACAATTATACGCGTTTAAGAGACGCGCGTTGTTA